TGCCTTTACAAAAGGGAAGTCGTCCAACCCTTATGGACGACCGTCCATAATGAATGGACGGGCTCCTTCAGTATGGACAGCCGTCCACAAGTTAGGGACGACCGTCCAGTGTTTAAAAATTACTTTTTTTACGAAACGCCCGTCCATCGCTTTTTTAAGATTTGTAAATATTAATTTTGGACTGGCGTCCAAAAATTATAGACGCCCGTCCAAAATTAAGGGACGGCCGTCACAATTGGTGGACGGCGTCCCCAAAGAATTTTTTTTTTTTTTTATATTTTGGGTGAAGGACGGGCGTCCATTATTTGTGGACGGCCGTCCCTAAGCTTTTACAATTTTTATTTTTTTATTTTAATAGGGACGGGCGTCCATATTATATGTATGGCCTCCCTCGAATATGGAACGCCCTTCCATATAACATGGACGCCCTTCCAAAATTAATGGACGCCGTCCATAATAGATGGACGCCGTCCCTAAGCTTTTACAAATTTTTTTATTTTATTTAATAGGGACGGCGTCCATATTATATGGACCGCCGTCTCTCCATATGGACGCCCATCCATATAACATGGACGGCGTCCATGTGAGTGACGGCCGTCAAATTGGATGGACGGCCGTTCACTAGAAAAAAATTATAAAAAAACTGAGAGATGCTTCCACGTAGGCCGGTACAGAAATTCGGTGGACTATTTTGGTGTCCGTAGGTTTATCTTCCTTCTAGTTCCTATAATTAAATAGGGTTGAAGAAGGAGGAGGGGAAAAGAGATGAGGCATGGCGTCACCATAGCATGATGATGTCACTAGTTGGACCGACCCATTTCTAAAATATTGGTTAAAAATATAGACTCCACTTATATTTCATGTAATAACAAAAAAAATTTATACCCATTCTTGTTTCGTAATAAACAATGATTCATTATATATAATGTGATGCATTGACTTAATTGACCTAATTAATAATGAAATAGTTGGTCTCCTTAACGTAATTTTAGCTTCAGCATGTGATAATATTCTCTTTATAAGTAAACGAATTTTATCCACCCAAATAATGACTTAATTTTCAGCCACAGATTTTTAAAATATATTTTACTATCCAAATAATGGCAGACTGTGCCATCGGTCGTTTGGCAGCATTGGTATCCAAATCACATCACTATCTTATTTTCGGATCATTACTTACAAAACCCCACAAATCTTGCTTTCATCAATCCTGTCAATCCAGCAATCGAGCGATTAGGGTTTACACAATTGCCCCTATCAAATCAAATTTCGATCAATCACGAGCATCAAAATCTAACTTCACCACCAAAAGACTTACTGACCTCCTCTCTTCAAAAGCCCAACAGCTTAGATGAGTTTGTTTTTCGTTTGTCGTCAAATATTTGAGTAGAAAATGGAACATAAATTTAGATACTTAAATAGTATTTTAACAAATATGAGTAAGAAAGTGTTATTAAACCATTAATTGGGGTGGAAAAGGGCCGTAAATACTTTTTTCATTTTATTAATTCTTTCATCTTGGGAACAAGAACTGTGCACACTTGTTTTAATAATTTTAAACATCAATAAAATGTTTATTTCACAGAAATAACGTCGGCAATCTTTATTTTTTTTATCCAAAAAAAAAAACGTCGGTGGTTAAAAGGACCCACTCAAAAATTAGCTTAAATCACAGCCCTTTAATCTAAATCATCAGTCAAATCATCACATATACACGGTTTAGTTGAGTCCGTATTTAAAAATGTCTTTCCAAGTTACAATACCGTCACGATCACGTTCACTGAATAAAACACAGGATTAATCAATCATTTTGTAAAGTCAAAAATAAAGACAGACTCTATAATTCGGATCCGGGCCCCACCCACCTTGACTGTCTACTTCGGCTTTTGGCTCTTTTAAAATCCCAACTCAAAATTTTTTCCATCACCAACTACTCCTCTTTCTTTCACGCACGAAGGATGCCTGCTCTTAAAACAAAAAAAAGTTGAAAATTTCTGTTTTCCAAAAATACTTTTGAAATTATGTTTTTCTATGCATATCTCCAAGAACAAAGCCTACCAATTTGGATTCAAAAAGCTGATTTCATATTTCATATTAATATTAATTTAATAATTAATAGGTGTGAGATGAGTTGTACTAGTATTACTGTTAGTCTGATGATAAAAAAGCGAAAAGAGTTTTATGAGCTCTTAATTTGAGTCTTTATAGATATTAATAGAGTATCAAGAGAAGTTACCTAATTATCAATTTTAGGTTCCAAAAATTAATGAGATATACTAAACTGGCTCGGACACATCTGATAAAAAAAAATGAGTTTACTATTTAAACTTGGGTGAATAATTAATTGATTAATTTAATTGAACTGCTGATTAATTTCTGATAAATACTTTTTATGGGAACTATTTAAGTTCACGCCAAGAAAATATATGAAAAAAATATCGAAACAGACACTTGTACGGTAAAGAGAAATCTGTAATTTCAAAAAGTCCCCAAAATAAGAATATTAAAGTGAAGGAAAACGATAAACTCACCGTAATCTCTTTTTAAGAGTAAACCACATGTTTCCCCCAAAGATTAGTGAAAATATAAATTCCCATCCTTGGTTTTTTTATTCCACACCTTAAAATTAACGACGTTAATGATTTTTGGATTCTGACACAATATAAAAAGTTATTATTACCACCTTTAAAATAAATTAATAAATTATTTTTTAACTCCGAAATGGATCTATATTTTTCCAGTAGCCATAAGAGAGGGAAAAATCGGCAAAAATGCTCATATCCAGCAAAATGGAGGCAAACAGCTGGGGGATGGATGGTTTTTGTCGGGGACGATGGGGGTGGTAGCTAGCTGTGGGGCAGTGGTTGAAATCTGGCTAGATATGGATTTTTCAGAAAATCACAGGAGGGAAAAATAGCAGAGAAAAGACTTCGATCTAGCCAAAATGAAAGCGAAAGAGGTTGGGGAAATGTGGTTTTTCGGGGATGAGTGGGGTGATGGTGTGATGTCCAATAGCATTGGGAATCCAACTAGATCTAATTTTTTGTGGCAATCGCGAGGGAAGAGAGTGATAACTGATAAGGGTGCTTGGGAGAGATTTGTGGTGTAAAAGGGGTTATTTGAACTTTTTTTTTTTATTTCACATTTAATGAGTTCAAATGACACTTTAACTTTTAACCGATATATTAAATGATTTTCTATTAATTGAAGTTGAAAATATAGAATAAATAAAATCAAAGTAGAACTAGAATTTTGTTAATCTTTGGGTGGGAACATGTCGTCCACTCATCTCTTAATTAAATATTCGTCAAACCAAAACCAATAGAAAAATGGATTACTCACAACCTCAAGTTTCGTAATCTGTTATAAAGATTATGAAAACGGATGGGTATATTTCCTCCATATACAATCAATCACCTCTTTGGACAATAAAATGCATATACTTTTTTTAATTAATTAAATTTTAAAAGCCCACAATTTACTTTGATATTGGCCTGAACCACATAATTTAATTATTATAAAAAGAAATTTTGCTGTTTCTTAACGTAACGCCACTAAAGGGAAATTGGATATAAATCACATGAATGTCACAGGCTATCTTTTTTATTTAAAACATGTAAAAGGTGAAATATATAAAATAAATGGATCAAGCAATAGGCCAAGGAGATTTTGTTAAAGATTCACTCACGGCAGAGCTGAAACATATTATAATGAGAGGATTTGCAGACATTGGCTGTTATTGTCAATTATAATCTTGATTCTTCTACCATTTATTGTTATATGAGAGAGACCCTGTAGGTCTTACAAAGGTTTTATGAGTAAATCACTATTTCACACAAAAAGTTTCAAAATATCATTTTTTCACTCAAAGTTAATATTTTGGTATTACCCAAACCGATTTCGATCTATTCAGATAGCAAAATTCTCTTAGTCATCACCATTTACACTCCAATCTCCTCTCTACAAATCCTCTCTCACCGATACCTGATTTCTCGCCGATTGTTGCCTACGCAAAACCAGTGTTTTTTGTTCTTAGATTATTTTGACTGATTTCAATGGCAAATATTCAATTGTCGGTGTCCCTACAACTCTCTTACTTTTGCCCCTGATAACTCGTCGAATACTGGTTAAGAAAGTAAAGTGCATTTTAGATATTAATAGAATATGAATGTTGGTGGAAAAGTGGTATTTTAGAACTTTTTGGATGAAAAAGTGTCATTAAAGCAATTTTTGGGGTGGAAAAGTCGTTTACTCGATATTTCTTGCTACTAGTATCACTTATCGTTCATGCGGTGCCCAATTATAACCTGATGGATTCCATGGATAGGATTCATACTTCATACTAGCTAATTGTATCACTTGTCATTCATGTGGTGCTCAATTAAGAACTTTAATTATGCATTCTATAGACAAGACGTGTATATCAACTACCACTAAAAAACCCGATTCACACTACCATCAACTACTATTAAGTGTACTTTCCTCAGAACTATCAGGCCAAAGAGTACTTCATATTACTTATGGCTTCGATTCATGTGAGAAGTGCTAGTGAGCTTCTTGAAGCTCAAGCTCACGTGTGGAATTATTCATTCAACTATATAATTGCATGTCTGTGAAATGCGCTATTCACTAGGCATTCCAGAGATCATCCATAACATAGCCAACCCATGACCTTTCTCCAATTTTTCTGCACTCGGTGTGAACCCAAATAAAGCCCACGGCATTCACCGTCTTATGCGTGTCTTAGTTCATACCGGCTTCTTTTCTCAACCAAAAGTCAGCAAAATTGATCACCAAGAAGACAAGTATTTCTCACACCCTTTCTCGACTCCTCCTTAAGGATGCACCCTCACTGCTCACCATTTGTGTTTCTCGAGCTTGATCCACTCCTAATTAATTCCTTTCAATCCTTGAGCGCTTGGTTCAAGAATGATGATTCCACACCGTTCGAAACAACTAATGGAAAAAAAATTTGGGATTGTCTGCTAATGACCTAAATTTAAAAAAACTTTTTATGATGCCGGTTAGTGACTCTCAGCTGGTAGCAAGAGCTTTGATTGAAGACCATAAAGAGGTATTTAAGGGGGTAGTCTCTAGTTAGGTGGTGGTGGCACTGGAATATGGTCGAAACCATAGCCAAAGCTTTTCCGGAGATTCATTGCATTGTTTTTGATCTCCCTCATGTTGTGATAATTTACAGGGGACTAAGAACTTGGCTTTTCATGGAGGAGACATGTTAAGGCAATACCTTCGGCTAATGCAGTCTTGCTCAAGGTAAACAACTATATGTAATTCCATTAATTTGACATACACACACAATACCAACAACGTCGTTTACCAGACCAAATATTTGTTATTCTATTTTGTCCAACATTCCTATCCTACCAATGCCAAATCAAATTAAATTGCTTTAATAGCAGAGAACTACACTCATATTCATAGCATAAACTTTAGTACTAGCTATGTCTTTGCATTCAGATTACAGTTTTAGCAGCGACTAACAGTGAACATATAAATTAATTATGGGAAAATTACAGTGGTTCTACATAACTGGGGTGATGAAGAAGTCGAAGATATTAAGGGTGTAAGAAGCGATTCCTAGCAAAGAAATGGGAGGGAAGGTGATAATAGAACTGGCCATGGGAATGGAAGATCAAGTGAGGGCAATGGAGAACCAACTATGCTTCGACATGATGATGATGTTTCGTTCAACACCGGCAAAGACGGAGTGTCGAAGAGTTGAAGAAGCTCTTCTTAGAAGCTGGTTTCACTCACTATAAGAAAGTCCTATACTAGGTATAAGGTCTCTCATTGAGCTTTACCCTTGATTTATTTTCTGCTAGTATTCATGTTTGTAGCAAGTTCAATTCTAATTACCATGTTTCGTGAATGGGAATGTATTCTATTAATTTTCATGGAATTGTGCTGTAGCAGTGTCTATTACTGCTGTGTTATTTATCATTTGGTGTATGATTGTACGAAATTGTTATGGCTTCAAAAGAATAGCAATAAATAATTAACATAGTATCTGTATTTGTCTGTCAAATCTCATATTAGAGCAAAGTATCACATTTCCCACGCCGGAAGGGAAACGGGGGTCTTGCACAATGATTCCACATTGATCGTATCAATATACTTTAATACCATAGAATATCGAGTTAGATTGAAATTTTATAGAATTTTTGAAATGAAAAAAAATAAAGAAAAGAAAAAAGGTTTCAAAGAAGGGTTCACCGTAGAAACGCTAGCTGTGACTGCAAAAAAAGCAAAAAGGTTGAATAATATAACAGGTATCCATCTTAACACAATTTCTGTGGCTGCAAAATCCCCCAGTCGTTTCAATATCTCTTTGTTTTCACTCTTTCCTGTTCATTTTTTTTCTTCTTTAATTTTGCAAAAACCTTGTTGGAAACAGAAAATTTATACAGAAATAAAATATCTCTTTCCTTTTCAATTTTTGTCTTCGTTACTAAGAGACACTTTTTATCTGAGTCAAGAATTATTTGTTCCTATACGTGTCAAAAATCTTTCTTCTAGTTCCTATAAATATTAAATAGGGCTGAAGAAGAGAGAGGGGAAAAGAGATCGAGACATGGCTGGTGAAAAAAGCAAGATATTGATAATTGGAGCCTGGGTATCTTGGTAAATACATGGTGAATGCCAGCGGTTCTATGGGCCATTCAACCTTTGCCTTTGTTCCTCCTGTCAAGCCAAATGCACCTCCTTCCAAGCTACAACTTCAATACCATTTCCAATAATAAAACGTGGTGGAATTGGCTTAGCTAAGAAAACGCAAGAAAGTTAATTTGGAAAAGTTTGAAGGTCTTGAAAAGAAAGAATGAAGAGCAACATTATCTTTATTTGTTAGCTTGAATCTCAAATACCCAAAATTCTTGTATGCAAAAGGGATTTCCATCATTCCTACCATAAATTTATTTCTTCAAGCTTTTAAAGTGAGATTGAGGACCTTCAAGCAAAAGCTAAAGGTTTTGTTTTTATTTTGTTTTATTCTCACACATTTATATCAAAACAACTAAGAAAATAAAAATAATTTTTTTATTTATTTATAATTATATGAACTAAAAAGGGTGTTGGTGTTTTGTGGCTGTGGGACACTGTGCTATTCACCTATAGGATTATTTAAGTGTGCACAAACTAAATATATTTTTAATCAATATATTTAAATTGTTAAAATTTATCTATTTTCATAATTAATTACTTTATTGATGACACGCTAACTAAATGCATTGTTAACTATTTTGAGTGATTTACTAACTAGGAGGATATATCAAAAGAATAAAATAATAATAATAAAAATGAGATAAAACCGTAAGTTATTAGAAACTTGATATTTTTACATTAATTATTAGAACATATTTCATAGGTGTTAATATGTTAGGGTGGCCCATAAATAAATTATATAGATTTTCTTACCATATAAATATTTATACTCACAATAAGGAATTATTCTTTGACGGTGGTCATGGCCAGCTCTCGCCATCAATATACTACTTGATCAACCCAGCAAAAGCAATCTTGCATTGGGCCAAAGTCGGCTCAATATTCATAACCTAAAATCTTACGATGACATATGTTCTAAAAGAATACACTATACAATGGATTAAAAATACTTTTCACCTCGAGACAGTCTTGCTAACCATTTTGTGACATGGTGAGACTGTCTAATAAACAATAACATGTATTGTCGGTTTTCAAAACCATTGACTGATGGTAATTATTGACGAATTATGAGATTGTATTATTGATGAATCATCGTCAAGGTACTATTTGATAAATGAAAATTTAGCACTATGTGACAACTGATGATATTATTCATAAATGGTCTCACATCATGGAATGAAATGGCAGGGCAGACTATTTCATATAAGTTTTCTTTGGATTTAAATTAGTTGGCTGGATCTTATTGCTCTGTCCACAGCATCCAGACCTAGAATGGTTAGTTTATATAGGCCTAATTAACTCAGTCATATGGCTGATTTGCATTATATCCAATATAATCCGCTCTCACTTTAGCATTAATACCATTTTTGGTGTTTTTATTTTAAAAAAATAAATTCAAAAACTAAAACTAAATTCTTAATATATATTGAAAAGCTTGTTTATTATCTTCCTAAAAAAAAAAATTAAACTCTAGTACTATCTTTTAAGATTATCAAACCCTATGAAAATTGAAAGTATAAAATCTTTGGTATATATATTCTTTTAAAATCTTAAAGACGATCTTACAAGGTATATCATATTGAGATAAATCACTTTTATTTTTCTAATAATACAAATATATGAATCATGATACATCTGACATTTACACTTTTTTTCTTTTTTTTAAATCGGATGTTTGAGTCAATTTATACGTATCTTGACTAATCCTGCTAGGTGATTACACATTCTCATCACTATAATCATCCGTCATTTGACAATCACACGATAAGCATGGTTATTGATTTTCAGTAACTAGTAACTAACAATGAAGCGAAATTAAAAAACGAAGTGTTTAAATCCAAAAGTGGGCAGCTTTAATCCAAATAAAAGCACAAAAACAAGATCCAAAGTTTGTGAGTCTAAAGTGGGAACAGATAGACTTCAACAAAATGGGTACCAAAAATCCAGTCTGGATGACAGATGAGTGATCAAACCCAAATATAAAACAAACAAATTACATCTATATATTAAAAATAAAAACCAATGTTTTATATTATAATTCATTAATTATTAAGTTTCATATCATATGATAATTATTATTATTATTTTCAAATAGGGGAAAGTTGTCAATATCTTTGTCACATGATTAGTCTTTTAGCTGGCAAATCCACATGCATTTGATGTGGACAATGGCCCCATTAATCCTCCTAATCTTTGTTTTTTAGCTTTGAAAATCAATTCATCAGGTGTATCAATTAGACTTGTTATTAATGTAATACTTACAGACTTTTTCCCCGCTAAGTAATGGCTTGGAGCTAAAGGAAAGGTCGATGATGGTAGTAGAAAGTTGAATTTAGTAGTTAAATTGATTAGAATTTAACTTAAGAGTCCGATTGCCCAAACCCAATTGCTCATTATCAGTGACTGACAGAATCGACGGGAGGTAGGTTTGAGGGTTTTTGGTGAGTGATGATCAGAAAAAAAAATGGTGGTGGTGTAGTTACAATGATACGAATTGGAACAAAATATAATTTGGTAATAAAGTGATATTTTAAAAGTCTGTAAATAGAAAGTGTTATTAAACCATTATTTAGTGGGAAAAATCGTTTACTCTTAATGTATAACAATTTTTTCAAACCTTATTAAGAATGATAATATTTACCAAATTATCTTTGAACGATTTATTTAATGTCTAAATTTAACGGCTATTATTTTCTTGTTATTCAATATTAAAGGTCATCGTATATTATTTTGAAATTTGCTATTCTAGGTTAATGAAATTTTTTAACACTACAATCTTGACTAACTTTTGTAATGTATATTTATTTTTTTCAGTATTTGTTTTTAAAAAAAAAAAATTATGAAAAAAATTTCTATGCATTATTCGAAATCAAATTTAAAATCATAAAAAAAAAAAAAAAACCTTATTAAGATATCCAACTACCTAACTAACATACTACTAATTTGGAACTCTATTTATAAGATGATATAATTTTCATTTATTAAAAAGGACATAATAAATTACATTTATTTTATTGGCCATTTATTGTAAGTGAGCATAGTTATTATTTTCTCATAGACTTTAGTACATTAATTATTAATTTTAGGTATGCTAAAATTGCAAAATGACACAAGTCACAAGAACAATTTAATTGAAAATCTTATTTTGTTTGACATTTTAACATGGAACCAATGATGATTTCTTTGGACTTCCTTTTTCATTTATATTATTTTTTTATTTTCATAGGATCTTGAAAAAGACTTTTATAATCTTAAAAAAAAAAAAAAAAAAAAAAAAAGGGAACCCATTTAATGTTTCTACAAATTGGGATCATAATGCATGGTTTCAACATGTCTTATTTTGTTTTAAAATATCTAAAATATTTAAAAAAATCCACAATTCTTAATTAAAAA